TCTCTTGCTGTCTTCAAACACCAAATGAAGACCATCTTTATGTGAAGCACTTAAATGAAAATTTATCAAGCACTTATTATTATCTTAATTTTGTGTTTTGTATCCAGCGTTCTAGGTACTGGCACTGGCTTTTGTTTTCTGGACATGTCTAAACTGAAGGGTAGTTTGAAGTCTAATTAATTTATTTGTCCTAGCTAGGATAAATTCTCTGAGTCAACAGCAAAACACTTTTGTAAGTTGCTCTGGATAAGAGCATCTGCTAAATGCCATAAATGTAAACTTTAGACATTTGTGTGCATGTAGAAAACATCTTATGGTGCTTTTTCACTGCATGGTACAGCTCAACTCAACTCTACTTGCTTTTGGTACCAGCTACATTATTTTGAACTGCAGATATAGTACCCCTCAAAGTAGCTGGTTGTCATAGCGATGCCAGATGAAACTGCTGTGATGAGGAAACAAATTTTGTTAAGAAGAGGGTGATGGCAGCAAGATATGCTCATCTGGTAGCTAAAGTTAGCACATGTGTTTAGGGTGATAGTCATAATTGTCTCCAATCAATCAGTAGTCTGCAGTTTTTCTACATCACCATTTTACCCATCTGTGCAGTGAAACTCCCACATACATGCACACTAGTGAACACACACACTAGGGGGCAGTCAGCACACTGGGAGCAGTGGGGGGTTAGGTGCCTTGCTCTAGGGCACATCAGTCATGTCCTCTCGGCTCAGGGGATCGAACTGGTGACCTTTCGGTCACAAGGCTGGCTCCCTAACCTCCAGCCCAAGTGACAAGACTATTGTTTTCAGAGTGATAAATCTTTATCTGTGTAGCAAAGTCACAAACTCTTCAGGAAAGTCTTCAGAAGCTCTTAAATACATACTATATCCGACCTCCACCAGGGAGACAAGGCGAGCACATCATCACTAGATGTTTTATTGCACAGTTGCACAAAGTACATCAGAGGCACAATGCGTCACAGCATTCAGAATCTCACTGATACTTTTGTGGTTTATCATATTGTGTTGTTTTTAAAGGAAAGACAAGAAAATCAATACCAAAGCAATGAACAGGTTAAATGAAAAAGGCAATTTAGTAACACTACTTTATAACAACTGCCTGATATGAACTGTTTCTATGCCGCAACACATGTATAATGTAGTATATAACACCATCCAACATTTTATAAGATGCTCAGTGATAATTAGAAATATATGAATTCTTCAGCATACTGTCATATTCAGAATAACAATATCACTGTAAGTATAGCTTGTACTGCATTCTGGTTCATTCTGGATATTGACCCTGCCACCCTACAAGACATTCTAACAACTGTGGGTACATTTCAGGACAATTTTCATCAATACATTTTAATCTGAATACACACACATATTCTACCAAACATGGCTACTGGGCTGATTCACAGGCCTCTCTGCAGCACAGATGGCTGACCTATGAGGAAAGAAAGTGCACACCTACAAAATCTGTTGGTTGCATGTTCAACACACTGTGAATCATGAACCTTCATTTTGTCACAGTTTTAATAAGGGATTAAAAATGACTGAAAAAGGGAATTTTGCTAAGATCATATAATTGTGATGATTATAATACAACTGAACTACAAGACACAACCTGTGTTTTTATTGGATTAGATGTAGGGATGGATCAATACCGCTACTGGTATTGGGCCGATACCATGCTCATTTACTCATACTCATAATCATACAAATTCACTGATACCATCTGATACCATGTGATGTAAGCCAAGTGTGTGCTGCTGCACTAATGAGCAAATGCAGCAACGGAGGCTCTGCTCACACAGAGAAGTGTTACTGACTCTGTAACAGCTGGACCCAAAGCCACTGGTCACTTTATACATTCCACCGTGGCAGATTCCTGCCAGACCTTCACTATGAAACATCCCGCTTAAACAAACAATCACAACTGCTTCCCCAATATGGTTGGAGATGTAGCCCAGCTAAACAGAGGCAAAAAAAGTCAACATTTACTACTAAACTCCATATATGCTAACTTACTCTGTTTCACTGAATAGAGTAGCGAGGTATAAATGATATGACGATTTTTTTTTTTTTAAATAGGCTGTCGGCATACTGTACTGTCCTACCATTTACATTCATGCCTGACTTTTAGCTAAAATGCACAGTGTTTGCAGCGCTAATCAGTTTCTCAGCATGTTTGTTCTGTATTTGGTGTGCAGCATGTTATTTTTAATGGAACAGCTTTATTTGAAATTGTTAATAGACAGAGCTGTCTGTAGAGGCTGTGTTTTAATGCAACATGGACTGAGCGTTTTTCTACAGTGTGAATAAATAAATTTGTCTGCATGATAGACTATTCAAACGTACAGTGCGAGTCACTATGCTTCTAAAATAGCACAGTGTATGTCTGGCTTTAGAGGACGTTTAACTTCAGCTCAATCAGCCAAACAAAAGACTCTGAGAAACTCCACACAAGTGCGCTGTGGATGCGTTAGCCTCAGGTGCTTTAGCCGATGTGATTCCTGCTTCTCTTTGCTACAGAGACTTATGTTGAAGACAACAATGAGGAGCAAAACTACAGCTGCACAGAAGTGCTTTTCTGACATGAAACAAAACCCGATCTTCTTCACTGCAGTGCTACTTAATCCAAGGTAGTGTTAAGTCATATAGCATAGCTAGCTAATGCACTTCATTTAACATCAGCTACATTTTAATGATTTAACTGTTGAGGTACATTGCTCTCATTTACGCTAACAACAACTCAATTCTCAGTAGGTTACTCATTATGGTATCGGGCTTGGCATTGACGAGTACTAAAAAATGTGCTTGTACTCGGTCTGAAAAAATGGCATCAATGCATCAATGCTTGTGCTGTGGAGTTTCTACCCAATGAGTTCTGCAATCGTCTCTCAGTTCTGAAAATTTGAGCTGCCTCACTCCTGTGAGACTAACACGACCTGTGTCATTATGATGTTTCAGTGACAACAAAGCGGGTACACATTGTACCGAGCCAGGTGCCGATCAATCTGCGCAAATCTGCATTCAGCGAAGACCTAATGAGTTCCGTGAAATAAACAAAAAGTATGCCTGCAATTTTTATTTTATTTATACGTTTTGGGTGAAAACAAAAGGGTTACATTTTTGAAACATCCAACTGAAAGTGATCCAATCAGGACTGTTGTCTCCATGGTATCTAGGTAGATCCAACCAAGCCCTCATATTGGTTCGGACCTCAGGAGCTGGACTGAAGGCCCTACACATTAGATTAGCTACCAACATAATTAGAAAGTGGCAGAAGAATCAACGCTTTGATTTACAATGGAACCAATTTAGAGAAAGAAACAGCACACTAGTCCTTCTGGAAGTTCTAGAAATGCCACTGACTAAATACGAGCCAGAGTCTGAGCCAACTTCAGTGCTCTTATGAAAGAGTCACTGTGAAACTGTTACAAGGTAAAATAAATACTAATGTCTGTAAAAAACTTTAAATAAAACATGGAATGTCTTTTTGAAGCTTTGAATATCAGCCAGAAAATGTTCATGTGAATTGATGAGAGCTCAGCACTAGCGCACTACTAAAATCCCATGGCAGAAAGGAACAATAATGTAGGTTTCTTTTTTTTCATTTTTGACCCAATCTTGATAATTATGAGCCATCTGAAGGCCCAGCTCTAATAGTTACAGTATATCTTGGTTGCAATATTTCTAACTGTCTCTTTGTTAAGCTAGGCTATCTTTTACAATAAATGCTTAGCATTTTTTTATTAAGGAAAAACTGAAAGCAAGACATAATCAGACCAATAAAACAAGCTTTCAAGTGATACATACATACATACATACATACATCATCTAAACCACTTATCCTTCTGGGTCGTGGTGGGGTGCTGGAGCCTATCCCAGCTGTCATTGGGCGGAGCTTTTAAGTGATATTGATCATATTTTTGTACAGATGCTATTATGTTACTTTGGCAAATTCTTACATTCTATGACCAAAAAGTGAGATGATAAGAATTAAAAACATACTGCCACTGCACTAAATTATTCTTTGACATGCCAGCTGCTCTTTATTTAGTGTGGTAACTTTGTGATGAATGAGCTAATAGAAAAGCTCTAAAAAGCCTACATTAACTTCCATTAAAAATGTAACTTTTTAATCCTTCTCCTGTAAAGTTACTATGCGGGAGATACAAGCTTTTGTTCTGAAAGCAACAACTACTGCATGAAATTGTATTTTAAAAAATCACCTGCACACTGCTGATCTAATTCAGAGGGGATGAGGGGATTTTTTTCAAACATATATTTTCAATATATGTTAGATAGTTGGGAAAAAAGTACATAGCCAAGTTGCAAAGGGGTGTCAGATACAATTTAAAAAAATTTTAAAACTAATTAAACCAAAAATAGATGATGTCTTATTTAGTTAAAGTCAGCAAGGCAAAAAGACAAAAAGAAATAAGAACTGGCCTGGAATCATTTCTTCAATGCATTATGATCATTTAATTCATCATATTTATGATTATTCATGTATTCTGCTAAAATATTTCTAGCAACATGTAGATCAGATGAATTTTAGTGACACAATCGAAAAAAAAAGGAATTGCCACTGTAAGTCAGCAAAACTGATTCTTTGTACTGAATGTGTATGATAATATTACTGTTAATAATACTATTTGGTTTTGTGTTTTAATACTAATGTAAAACATGAGATACCAATATGATCATAGTAATTCTAGGCATATTTTACAGTTTTATGTTTTAATTTGCTGTATGTAAGTTATAGCCCCCCTTCACTGGTCAGACCCAACCTGCACCTTGAACCAGTACATGAAACATTCTCCTCATTAAAGACTGACCCCTGCCTCCACCCCTCCCCCCAACCACCCCCCCACCCCCTTCTCACCTTATCTCCATCCACCAATCCAGCACTTCACACAAGCTTAGAGGTAATAATGTGGTACTAATCTCCACTAGCGTAAACACAGACTCTTCTTGTCCTCATACCTGTTTCTCGTTCTTGTTGGGGTTCAGGTGAGTGACGGGTGCTACCTGTGTGGGCTTGCAGCACCCGGCGCACATGTACTTCAGAAAGCAGAGGTAGGCGCTGCCAGACATGATGACCATGACAATTATGATGACGGTGGCGCTGAAGGTTGGGGAGACAGAGTCCTCCAGCACCGACTGCAGACCTTCACCAGACAGACTCCCCCTCACAGCTCCACCAGCAAAAGATACAGCCTTCGGCCTGCCTGTGGCGTGTCCTGAGAATGGGGGAACAATGGGAGAATGAGAAAACAGAGAATGGGGAACAGGAAATGAAGGGAACAACGGGAGGATGGGGGAATTGGCAAATGGAGGAACGGGAGAATGGGGGAACGAAGAATGGGGGAATGGGAGAATGGGGGAACAGGAGATTGGGAGAAAGGGAGAACAGGGGAACAACAGAAGAACGGGGAATGGGGAATGGGGAATGTAAGAACAGGGGAACAGAGAAATGGAGGAAAGGTAGAATGGGGGAATAGGTGAACAGGGGAATGGGAGAATGGAGAAATGGGGAAAAGGAGAATGGGAGACCGGAAGAATGGAGAAACAGAGAAACCAAGGAATGGGGGAACAGGGAAATGGGAGAATAGGCGAACAGGTGAACGGGAGAATGGAGAATGAAAGAATGGGGAATAGGAGAATGAGGGGAACGGGAGAGTGGGGTTACAGGAGAACAGGGATATAGGAGAAAGGGCAAACAGAACAGGGGAATGAAAGAACAGAGAACAGGAGAATAGGGAACAAGAGAACAACAGGAGAATAGGAGGACAGAGAATGGGGAATGGGAGAACAATGGGAGAACAGGGGAATGGAGGAAGAGAATGGGATTTCAGGAAAAGAGGAACGGGAGAATGGGACAGCACGGAATCAAGGAAACAGAACAGGGAATAGAGTATAGAGGGACAATGGGACAACAGGGAAAAGGAATAGGAGAACGGGAACAGCGGAACAGAGAAATGGGGAATAAGAGGATGGGAGAACAGAGAATGGGGAACAAGAGGAGAACAGGGGAATGTAAGGATGGGGAACAATGGGGCAATGGGAGAACAGGGGAACAGGAGAAGAACATTTATTTAAAAAAAGCAAAAATTCATCTTGCATTATATGGGCCCTTTAATATATCACCCACCCCTACTTGTTTTTTCATGTTTTATTTTTTCACACCATCTTAAAATGCTAGCTATCCTTTACATCGGGCGTAAACCTCAATGGAGAATGGTCTAATAATCCAACATAAAAATCTTATATTGATGTACGTGAGATGTACAGAGATAATAAAATAACATAAATCAGGGTGGTAGGCCAGGAGGAAGTGACAAATAGAATAACAAATTCTGTTGCTTTATATTACAGAAGGGGAGAGAAAAGAGTTCACTGCACTGTCACACAGCAGACAGCAAACATGATTTGTGTCGGCAGCAGTTGATTAAAACATTTTCTCTTAATTTCTTCTGTTATTATTTTGCAGAAAGCTGAAAAGTAAAGCTCTGTGTTGACTTTGGAAAAGTTACAACATTCATCCAGCATGTGGGAGCAGATGACATGTCAAGTCAAAGTCAAGTCAAAGTTTATTTATATAGCGCTTTTTACAACAGTTATTGTTACAAAGCAGCTTTACAGAAAAATCCGGGTCCAAGCCCCCATGAGCAAGCCAGCAGCGACAGTGGCAAGGAAAAACTCCCTAAGAGCAAGAGGAAGAAACCTTGAGAAGAACCAAGACTCAAAAGGGGAACACATCCTCCTCTGGTCGACACCGGATAGCAAACAGCGTTAGTATAAAGTATTGTAGTACAAAACAGGAAAACAGGCGGAGTAATGGTTAATTGGATTAGTTTTAGTTTATGAAGCAGCAGCATCATCGGGAGGGTCAGTTCATGAGGATGAGGTTTGCACAGCATTGTACAGCATTAAGCTCAGTGGTGGTCAAACCGGTCCAGAAGGCTGGCGAGCAGTGGGCACCCGATCAGGGCAGAAGAAGCAACAGCATCAGACGCACAGGATGGGCAGCTGTTCAACTCGGCAAAGAAAGGAAAACACACAGAGAGTTATTTCTTTAAAGAGTGACTGATCACAGATTACAGTATTAACAGAGAGCAGCAGAGACTCCGGCAGGTCTAGTTAACTAATAGGAAGAAACCAGAAAGGTAACTGAGATGTCGGCGCCCCTCTGCTCCACCGTCAGCAAACTTGTGTGAACGCGTGAGAGCAGCGGGACGACAGCACCAACACTCCCAGTTTACCATAATACTCTATGACCCACAGATCTGCACCTTTTAAGTTTTTAGCCTAGACTTAAAGACTGAGGCTAAACACTGCCTGGAAGATTATTCCAAAGCTGAGGGGCTTTGTATGAGAAGGCTCTCCCCCCTGATGCAAGTTTATTAATTCTAGGTACTAATAGTAAGCCAGCACCTTGTGATCTAGGTAGGCGTGATGGTTCATAGTGTGAGAGAAGTTCACTCAGGTACTGAGGGGCGAGTCCATTTAGAGCTTTATAAATCAGTAAAAGAATTTTGTAATTGATGCGAAATTTAACTGGCAACCAGTGTAGGGTTGATAAAAATGGGCTGATATGGTCAAACTTTTTGGTTCTTGTGAGGACTCTGGCTGCAGCGTTCTGGACCAACTGAAGCTTGTTAAGGCTTTATGTTGGAGACCCCCACCCCACTGTTCACCCCAAGCAAACCTGACCAATTCATCTTAGTCTTTATTTATTTAATCATTTATTTGAATAAGGAAATGAATCTTGTGATTTTTACTTGGTGTGCAATACAGATTGTCTGGACACAACCAGCTTGTAAAAAATTTAAGTATTATTTTTCTAAGCGTAATTTTAAGGGCTAGGGTTTGGTACAGATACCTCCTGAATGCTTCACTGCTTTTTAAATACTATTTCTATTGTGGGAACTAATTTGGTTGAAGGAATTCTCTGACTTTATGGAAATGCTGATAATGAAATGTGTATTTTTGTGATACTCGGTTTTGTAGTCACAGATAGTGTCACAGATGAGAGAAGCCTGGTTGCTGCTGTTAGGGTACTCAGCTTTAATCAGTGTGAGCGTCCCTCCAGGGTCAGGGTGAGTGGACATGCCTTTGGCCAGTAAGACTGCATGTGATGGTGCTTGTCAGACTGGCTATATGTCTAACCTTGCAATCTTCTGCTAATGTTGCACTTTGTGTAGAGATGCTGCTGCAAAGCTCAGAGAAGATGTTGCTTTTGACCCCCCCCCACACAATTTTCTCCCCAATTTAGTCACCTCCAATCCCACTTGCTAGTTAGTACTCCCCCAATCACACAATACCACCAGTGCTAGGAGGGCGAAGTCTAGCACAGGCTTCCTTCAAGACCTATGAAGCCAGCCACTGCATCTTTTCGAACTGCCGCTCACGCAACATGCCTTACAACAGCCCAGGTGAGAAAGGAGTTCAGAAGGATCAAAGTGAGGAAAGCTTTGGGTCTGGATGGCATCAGCGCCAGGCTCCTTAAGTCCTGCACAGATCAACTGTGTGGGATAGTTGAACATATGTCCCAGTTTGCCTATCAACCTGGCATTAGAGTGGATTACGTGGTCATCTACCTGTTACACAGAGCTCTTTCTCACCTGGAGAAGACTAGGAGCACTGTGAAAATCATGTTCTTTGATTTCTCCAGTGCTTTTAACACCATACAGCCTTGGCTCCCGAGGAACAAGCTGGAGAACATAAGGGCGGATCACCACCTATCAAATTGGATTCTGGACTATCTCACCAACTGACCACAGTACGTGAGGGCACAGGACAGTGTGTCTGACAGTGGTCAGCAGCACAGGGGCCCTGCAGGGAATGGTCCTGGCACCATTTCTCTTCACTCTGTACACTGCAGACTTCATGTACAGCTCACCAAACTGCCATCTACAGAAGTTCTCTGATGACTCAGCAATCATCGTACTCATTACAGATGAGGACGACAGAGAGTACAAAGAACTGACCCAGGACTTTGTGGACTGCTGTCTGAGGAACCACCTCCTGATCAATGCGGGGAAAACCAAAGAGATGGTGGTGGATTTTCGCAGACACAGTCACCTCCCTCCACCAGTGAACATCGAGGGAAGGGACATTGACAGAGTGGACTCTTATAAGTACTTGGGATTTCACCTTAACAATAGACTGGACTGGTCAGAAAACAGCATCCATGCTGGAGAACAGCTCAAACTCCATGCATGAGACTCTGGCAGCTCCTTCAGTGACAGGCTGCTTCACCCCAAGTGTGTGAAGGAGCGTGTGGAGAAGGGGGCATGGCCGAGCGTTGAATGCAGGACACAGAAGCAGGTAGGGCTGAACCAGCGGGCTAAGTAGCTGATGAGATTCACCTGTGCCTTGTTTCTACCAGCCTACTTATAGTCATCTCTTCCCTCAGTAGGTAGCAGAGCCCAGAGAGAGAAGGAGACCTGCAAAAGTGTGAGAGCTGAGCTGAGCTGAACAGACAGAAAGAACTGAAAAGTCCCAGCGAGCATCTTGTCTTAATTTGTCTGTGGGCTGAAAAGCCAAGTGGTTTTTGTGTTGTGTATAAATAATAAAAAAAACTCTCCGTCTCCACACCTGCCCTCCCTCCACCCATCCTTAAAGTTGTTACAGAGCGCTATCGCAGGTCCTTCCTTCCTGCTGCTGTTAGACTGTACAACTAGCACTGCTCCCAGTAGAACCTTCCTCCACCCCCCATTAGACCTCACACACCTACAGAACATAAACTGGGAATTCATGACCATTTCCTGTGTGCAATATAATCAACACACCATGTGCAAATTTTTTTTTAAAAATATCTCTATAGTGTAAAGATTTTTTTGCTTTTCTATTATAATGTTTATATTGTTAACTCCTCACCATCCTATGTGTAATATAAACCACTACCTCATGTGCAATACTCCATGTGAATTTTGGGCAAAATATCCTACAGTGTAAATATCTTATTTACACAAACTGTAAAAACCTTGTTAAGTTTCTCTTTCTTTTTCTTGAGTGCCTTGCTATCCCTTTGCTGCTGTAACACTGAGAATTTCCCCATTGTGGGACTAATAAAGGATTATCTTATCTTATTAGACAGCCGAACGCGCTCGGAGGAAAGCGCCAACCGTCAGATCTGTTACGTCAGCTAACAGATGCCTGCACTGACTAGCATCACGCTGA